GGTGAGGACCGACCTCAGGAGAGTGTGGTGAAGGGGGCTGGGAGGTGAGCAGGAGAGGCACGGGAGTGGCTGGCTCACTCTCTGGTTCTCCAGATCAAGAGGGGAGGGGTAGGGGGAGGAGAATTACAGCCCAGGCCCCGAGGAGCTAGGGCACAGGGGCTCTCTTGGCTGTCTGAAGAAAACACACAAAGCCCCAGAGGGCTTGGCTGGCGTGGCTCCGTGGTTCCGTGGCTCCGGCAGGTGGCGCTTCCTCCCTGCTGATCCAGCTGCATTTCTGCTCCGCAGCACCTCCACCTCCTGAGTTCCCAGCGCTTTGCTTACACAGCCCTACCTTTCCTATGCCATCTTGGTTTGTTTTAGTTGAAATATAATACACAGAACATAAAATTTACCACTCTAAAGTGTGCATTTTAGTGGGTTTTAGTGTATCCACAAGGTTGTGCGGCTGTCACAATTCTCTAATTCCAGAACATTGTCGCGGTCCTGGTAAGAAACCCCGTCCCCCATTAGCTGCCGTTCCCTTTTCCCCTCCGCCCCTGCCCCGGCAACCGCTAATCTACTTTTTAGCTGGATTTGCCTGTTCCACACATCGCCGGTAAGCGGAATCAGACACGATGTGGTCTTTGTGCCTGGCCCCTTTCACTCCGGATGCTGCTTCCCGAGGCTCACCCACACTGCAGCATGTACAACACACTTTGTTCCTTCAGTGGTTGGGCCACACTCCATTGTGCGGATTGACCCCTTCATCAGCTGTGGGACATCTGGGTTGATCCCACCATCTGGCCATCGTGGGTAAAATGCCATCGTATTTTATGAGTAATGCTATAGAACAGCATGTTTTCAGGGCCCAGGAGGATGTGTCCTAGCAGGAGCATCTGTGGCCTCTACTCCCACGGACCACAGACCCACCCTGGTGGCGTCTCAGCTGCCTTCTGGCCAGGCTCCACCTCCCGACCTGACTCTGAACTTCCTTCAGTGCCTGGGAAGGAGGGGGTGTTCCTGGACCTTTGCTGGGGCCAACCTGCTAGTTTTAAAGTGTGGCAACACATTAATAAAACAACAACAACAAAACCCCCCAGAAACTTTAGGTCAAACAAAGCTCCCTGCCACCTTGCTTGGCTAAAGCCCTGCCCTTGACCTCAGAGAGGCAGCATCTGCCCTTTTCAGCTGAGCCACGTGAGATTAAGGGTCCGTCCCAGGGCCACGTGGATAGTAAGGGCAGAGCTAGGGTCGCAGGGAGCCTTACAATTTCTGTTCTTCCTTGACCGATTCAGCCCTACCTCAGATGCTTAATAGCCATGGGCTGGAAAGTGGGGTGACCACCAAGGGACAGGACAGCCAGGTGCTGGGCAGGACCACCCCAGTGAGGCAGCAGCCCGCCTCTTGTGTCCCAGCCCTACACATTCTGGTCTCGAGTGTTGGGAGCACGGGCTTGCTTTCCAGACTCTGTCCCCACTAACACACGGGAGGGGGCCCCAGGTGACCCAGGAACCCAGGAAGTGGTCATGTCCACACTCAGCTCTCCCACCAGACTGGGCTCAGAGGTGCACAAGGGCTGATGGCCCTTGGATGCACTCAGGACTGGGGAGACCAGAGCCAGGTCTGGCTGGAAGGGCAGGCAAGAGGCCCTGACTGCCCCCGTGTGGGCCTGGGGAGCTGGGGTGCCATGGCCAGCAGCCTAATGACCACCTGCCTTCTTGCCACCTTCCTCCAACACAGGGTTCTCTCCTCCCTCCGTCCCTTGCTCTCCTTTCTAGGTACCCTCAGCACTGGCCCAGGATGACCAGGACCTGGGCCGGTCCCTGCCTGTGGGAGGGACGAACTTGCCCGTGGTTGCCCCACGAGGCAGCGGCCCACTGCCCTCTCTTCCCTCCCTGCTCCATCTCCCTCTCCCTTCTTTTTCTCCTTCCCCTCCCTCTCCCTTCCCTCCCCTTCCTCCTTACCCTCCCTTTCTCTCCCTAACTCCTGTCATTCCTTCCTCCCATTTCCAGGGGCTTTGATAATCCATCACCTGTCAAATGGTGAGGGGACCTGGAGCGGGGTGCAGAGAGGGGGAAGGGAGAAGGTTATTCTCGGTTGGGTGCTGAGCAGCATGCCCACAGAGAAGTGAAGACAGGCCCAGAGAGCCACACCATCCCTGGGAAGCTTCCAGAGTGCCGGGGCAGGGCACAGAGCTGGGAAGCAGGAGCCCAGGTGGGACAGGAAAGCGGCGCCCTCTGCAGAGTCCCTGAGGTCTGGGGGGCCTGAACCGAGTGGGGTGCAGGCAAGGGGGTCACTCAGGCAGGCACGTCTGCCCTGAGTCGCTGATAGCTTAGGACTGCAATGTTGTCTGTGTCACTGACTAGGACCCAAGGACAACTGACCACGGCCCAGAGGGTCCCTGACTACAGACAGGGAGGGGGACATGGTGGCTGCCCATGCCCAGCCCACCCCCGAGGGTCTGCACTCCGTGAGCAGCCTTGACCCTTGACTGAGGAGCCATGGAAGGGGAAGGGAGGGTCACCTTCCCTGCAGCATCTCGCCCCCACCTCGGCCGGGGCTGGGCTGCGCACCCAGGCACCTCCCCAGATCCCCCTCGCTGGGCCAGACCCCTCTTCTTGGTGCTGGACCCCCAGTGACCTGCCTGGAGTGCGGTGGATGGGGCGGGCCCAGGCCAGGGACCCCCCCTCCCCCACCCCCAGGGTCACCTCCTCCCCCACCGCCACCCCCAGAGGAGCGGGGCCCTGCAGAACTGGGTCAGAGGCAGCGGCTGACCTCTCAGAACCACCCAGCACACACTGGAACTCTGGGAGCTAGGAGGCCAGGGTTGGTCACGCTGTTCTGAGACCCCAGATCCCTGGGAACCCGGCCCATGGCACTTAACCGCTAAGGAGCAAACAGGCTTTGGTGAAGAGCCAACAGCTGTCTGCTAGGGAAGCAGAGTTAACAAGGACGGTGTGTGGGGGGGTGATACGGGAGGGTCCGCGTTTGAACCCCCCAGCTCCCACTCCCGTGCTCCCCCCACCCTGAGGCTTGGGTTTGGAGCCCCAGGTCTGAGCCCGGCCTGGGCTCAGCAGGGTCCTCTGGAGGCCTGGGTGTGAGTGTGTGTGTGAGGGGGGGTGGGGGGATATAAAAATCCTCCGGTAGCGAAATGAAATCTGGGTCTGGGACCACCCCACCCTCCCAGACCTGGGTAAGTGTGACTGCAGAAAGTGGGGGGAGGAAGGGTGTCCCCAAGTGCTACAGGACCCAGGAGTGCAGGTGGGTGTGCAGCCAGGGAGGGCTCTGGCCAGCAGACCTCCTGCCCAGGCTGCCCCCAGCTGTCAGGGGGCCTGGGAGTTATGACCCCACCACCCCTCTCTCGGCCCAGGTCACAGGAGCAAAGAGCAGTGATGTCTCCTGCCTCCCAGGGGCAGCGCTGACCGGGCTTTCCCTTGGAGCCGCTTCTTGCTCCCTCCCTCCCTCCCTCCCTTCCTTCCTGCAAGTGGAAACCACCCCTGAGCCCCATTAGCTTCTGCTGAACAGAAGAGGGAACTGAAGCAGGGAGGCCAGAAGCTTCTGCCCCTCTCCTCATTGGGTGGCACCCTAGGCCACCCTTGCTTCGGAAGAGTGGGTGTTGGTGAGGGGTGGGTGTCCATCTGATTGGGGGAAGGAGGGCAGGATGTGCAGGGAGAGGTGAACCCCTCGAAGAACTAGTTGTTGTGAAAATCTTCTTCATACCGGGCGCCTGGGTGGCTCAGTTGGTTAATTGTCTGATTTGTCTCAGGTCATGGTCTCAGGGTCCTGGGATAGAGCCCCGAGCCCCTGAGCCACCCCCTCCAGCCCTGAGCCCCTGAACCCACGAGCCCTGAGCCCCTTGAGCCCCCAGCCCTGCAGGCCGGCTCCACCCTCAGCCCACCCAGGAGTCTGCTTCTCCCTCTCCCTCTGCCCCTCTCCCTGCTTGTGTACTTGTTCTCTCTCTCTCTCTCTCAAATAAATAGTCTTAAAAAAAAAAAAAAGAAAGAAAATCTTTATCCTCCAAAAAGTGACAATGCTGAAGTGTGCATCCCTCGAAGTCCCATTATTTCGGGCACGAGTCCATCAGCTAGGCATATGGCTTTTTTTCTATGGGATTCAGTCCTCAAAGAGCAGACCCCTCTCTCCATGCCTCTTGGAGGACATCACTGGGTTGTGTTCCAAACCAGTAGGGACAAATCGGGGGCCACCGTGGTTCATACAGTGTGTGCCAGCTTCCCCAGCATCACCAGCATCAAGCTGCTTCATCAATTCTGGGTTTTGCTGGTTTCCCAGGAACAACACAGTATCTTGTGAGTTTGAGTTTCTTCCTCAGGTATGAGTTTGAATAGCGATTTCCTTAAGTGATCGCTTGTAGGGTGATGGCTCAGATTGGAGACACACCTTAGGCTCAGGTGGGAGGAGGTCTTGGAGGAGGGGACAGGGCCCTGAGGGACACAGACGGCTCCTCCCTTGGGTTATGAGTAGAACTGGGGAAAGGGCCAGTGATGGGGTATTGGGTGGGTTTCAGGAAACCGCCAAGAGGGGTGCAGCTCCCAGGCTGTTGTGTCCCCTTGGCCTGAGAGGGCAGGAGCGGGGGAGGTGACCCAAGCCCCACGTGGCTGTTTGGGGAGGCCACCCAGCAGCTGGGATCTTCTCTTGGAGGGTGCAGCCAGCCCCAAGGACACAGAGGATGCACTCCCACCCCTGCGCCTGGCCAGACCTGCTCAGCGAACCTGACCAGGAGCCACCGAGTCACACCCAGTCGTCCCCGTCACTTCTTCCAGCGGGAGGGCCTGGTCCAGCAGCCAGCAAGCCCAGCGGCTCCAGCAAAGTCCCCATCACACAGATTTCCAGAGCCTCGGATCTCCAGACCCGAGGGCTCCAGCCAGAATCTTTTCTCAGAAGGGGCAGTGCTGTGCCTCTTCTCCCTGTCCCGCCATCCCCATTCTGCAGGAGGGGCCTCCCTCAACTCGCTTCCTTCTTTCGGTTTCCCACTATTTGTGCTTTAGCAGAGAGGCCTCTAGAAAGTGTTGGGCGCAGACTTCCTCTGTCTGGGGACAGCGCGGGAGAGGGTCCCAGCTGCCTCCCAGGCCTCCCCTGAGGACCCACGTGAGGAGCAGCAGTGAGGAGCGAGCGGGGCTTGCTGGCCGAGAGCCTGCACTCTTCAGGCCGTCGGGGCCCAGGACAGTGTCTGAGCCCCAGCGCTTAACTGTGGTGGAGCAAGTGCCCCCCGGACACGTCCTTACCCACGCGGTGAGAGAAAGGGGGTGGCCAGCCCTCCCGGAGCGGGAACCCTGTGAGAGCAGGCTTTTCGGGGTGTCCCCCAGAGCCTTGATCCCCTGGTGTTCATGCCGCCTGGAAGGGGGTGGTCTGGGGGATGAGTCCCCTCCTTGTCACCCCCATGTGGGTGCCTTCCTCCCAGTCAGCAGGTAGAGCAGGTGGGGTAGGGGTCCCTGGGGAAGCAGGGAGTGGGCAGATGGGCTCCTTCCTCCTTCATCTCCCAGAGCTGCTCGCTGGTCCTCCTCTTGACTCTCCTGCTCCTGCTCACCCAAGAGGGGAGGGGTCTCAGCCGGGGACTGCCTGGCAGAGTGGCATCGTGGCCCACGGTGTGCCCGTGAGGCTGGCCGTCACACCAGGGCTCCAGGGGGCAGGGCGTCTGGGCAGGGTCACCTCAGCTAGCTGTGGGCACACGAGAAAATCGAGAAAATCTCCACCGTGAGTGCTGGGGAGACGGTGCTCGGGCAGACAGACCTCTGGTGGCCAGAGTTGCAGCTCAGTGCTCTGTTCACTGAGTCTGAGCAGCAGGATCTCGATGTGAGGGTCTTGAGCGGCACAGAGACAGTCCCAGTGCTTTCTGGGACCTGTGACTGCCTCCCTGGAGCAAGTATTATCGAGGACCCGTCTTCGTCCCCTCGGGCTCCGGACACAGCACCGTAGTCTGGGGGCTTAAGCAACAGTCATTTCTCAGTCTGGAGACTGGCGTTCTGGGGTCAGGGCGTCAGCACGGTCAGCTTCTGGTGCGGCCACCTCCTGGCTTGCCTGCTCGCTGCATCCTCACCGGTGGACGGCTGAGGCCGCCCTCCGGGGCCTCTTTATAGGGCACTCACCCCATCCGTGGGGCTCCACCCTCATGCCCCAATCACCTCCCAATACCGTCACCTGGGGGTTAGGGCTTCAACATGAGAATTTGGGGGACACAAACATCCAGTGTATAGCAACCCCTCCTTCCCAGGAACCACATGAACCACAACTGAAGAGAAAGAAAGGACGGGAAGGTGTGGCCACCGTGTGCACCAAGCCTTTCAAAGCCAATGTCTTGTGGACATCAAGGAAGCCCCCCCACCCCAGATGAGAACAGCCAGGCTGATTCCTCAGAGCGCACTGAATTGGGGGTCCCATGACACGTGTGTGTGGCAGAGACCCAGGGACAGGCAGGGGAGTGGGAGACGTCATAGTAGGAAGGGGGCTCAGGTGCCCCGACGGAGGTTGGGAGCAGACAGCTAGAAGAGGGGCGTCCTTGAGGTTGGTACGGGGAGCATGCTGGCTTTCTCCAGTGGTCCTGAGTTGGAAGAGGGAGCGGTGAGTGGGAAAGCTGGTGCACACAGGACCCTCACGTCTGGTCACTGACCACCTCCTGGCAGGATTGGGCCAGTGGTTCTGGGGGCTGTGCGTGGCTTTCCGAGCTGGTGGTCCCATAGAGGTGGTCCCATAGTCTGCCCAGTCAGTCTGTCTCCATCTCTTGCAGCCCGAGGGCGGTTTTCTTCTCTGGAGACCAGAGGCAGCTTCCAGGGCTGGATTCCCAGGCGGCGCCCATGGATCCTGGCCCTGCGGAGGAAGGTGTGGCCCCGGCCATCTCCCCACTGAAGCCCGGCGAGAAGTTCCACCTGTTTGTGAGTTACAGCAGCATGGACACCATGTGGACGCGCGGGCTCATCAGCCGCCTGGAAGCGGACCTCCCGGGGCTGAGAATCTGCCTGCACGAGCGGGACTTCACCCCGGGCAGGAACGTCCTGGAGAACATGGCCGAGTGTATCCAGCAGAGCCAGAAGGTGCTGCTGGTGCTGAGCCAGGACTTTGTGCAGAGTCGCTGGTGCCTCCTGGAGGCTGACCTGTCCCTGTTCGGCTACTGCCTGGAGAGGAAGCTGGTCATCCCGGTCCTGCTGCGGCCCTGCCGGATCCCGCTGCACCTCAGCCACCTGACCTACCTGGAGGCCACAGACAGCCGCTTCTACCTCAAGGTGAAGCATGTCCTGTGCCAGCCCAACCACAGTCTGGGGTGCGCCCTGCCCGCCCGGCACTTGGCCTCCTCCCTCTACAGCGGAAAGACCCTCCTGACCCTGAACTGCATCAACAGGGACAGCCTGCCCTCGTGGAAGGTGGGGTCCTTCAGCACCCTGGCCGTCCCCGACCCCTTGAAGGAGGTGTTGGAGGACCCCGCGGTGTACAAGCATGCCGTGAGCATCCTGAACGGGGTGCAGTCCCCCAGGTCCTGCCTCCGGTACCTGGGCTGCAGGGTCCCCCTGGGCGTCTTCCTGATTGTCCTCTCCTTGGCAGCGCTCACCCTCCCCCTGATTCTGGGGCTGCAGCAAAACCCGCCGGCAGAGCGCTTCCTCCTAATCTCTGCCACCGTCTTTTTCTGCCCGCTCCTCATCGTCTTGGGGGTGAACAGCCTGTGCTGGTTCAGGAGATTTTCTCAGAAGAAGATGCGGGAGCTGGAGCTCAGAGTGGGCGAGGCCAACGTCCTGCTGGCGCCCCACTCCCTGCTGATGGGCTGTGACACCATGAACAAGCTGCACTTCGTGTACGTGCTGCTGGGGGACTGCAGGCGGGTCTTCCTGCAGGCCCCGCAGGGTGAGGCCCTGTTCCGGGAGGCCCTCCTGCGCTTCTCGTCCAGCTACACCTGCTGTGTGGCCCACGCACACTTCCCCGCCTGCGAGGACACCCAGGGGGCTCCAGGCCACCTGGAGCTGGGTCTGTGTTTCTGCCAGTTCGTCTCTCTGCAGCTGAAGAAACACAAGGGTCTTGGGGTTAACCCCGTGTGATGACAGGAGGGGCCCCCAGGGCTGTGGCTGGCCCTGCAGACATGGCCTCTCCGAGGCCCGGGTGGTGCACACGGGACCCTCACGTCTGGTCAGGACCTTCACCCTCGCCGAGGGCCCCACAGCCTGCTCTGAAGGCAGAGGTGACCACATCAGCCCAGGTGGCCTGACCGTTTGGGGAGGGGCTTTTTTGTTGAGACTATGTGAGGGGAGGCTGGGGAAAGCAGCAGGTCCCCTTAGGATCTGGCCTGCTCTTCAGGAGGAGATGGTCACTGCCGCTGTCTGGGCGGCCGGTTCGTGTCCAGGGGACCAGGGCAGACCATGCTGGCTCCCTGTGGCCCCCTCCCTGAGCAGCTCTTCCAGGAACCTGCCCCTCATCCTGGGACACGGAGCGTGGGGATGCTGGGGTGCGCGGGGGCACCAGGCTGAGCGGAAGGACCCTGGGCCATTCACCCTCCGCCTTCAGGGCACCAGCACACAGCTATCGATTCTGAGAGCCTGTGAGGGGCCAGCCGCAGCCATCGTGGCGGAACGAGAAGGCTGCGTGTGTCCTCCGCGTGGACGCCCCGTCGGACCCGGGTCTCTGCTCCCTCCTGGCCTCAGCCTCAGCCTGTCCCCAGCCTCCCTTTCTGGGTGGAGGGTGTGCCTGTGCCTGGGGGGCTGTCGCCTGGTGGAGCCCTGTTCTCCACCCTGGTCTGCTCACCCTGGAGGCTGGCTTCCTGGGCTCAGACGTCACTCCGCACCCTGGTGTTTCTGGGCTTCTGCAGACGCTCTTCCCCGTGGGAGCAGGGAGCTATCTGTAGACAAGAACATGAAATGCTTGAGCTGGTTCTGTCTGTGGGGGCGGAACAGGGGGCACCACGAGGCCGAGCTGCACGGCCCCCTCCGCTCTGAGCCCTGCCCGGGGGGTGGGGGTGAAACCCTCAAACCCAACACCCGTGCCCATGTGAGGGTCAGTCAGGCTCCACAGAGACCCCCTCGGCTCCAGCTAGGGCAGGACTGTGGAAATGAGGGGTGGCCCCCGGGGCGCTGCCTTGAGCCTCAGCTCATCTGTGTGTAAATGAGCAGTTGGCAGGTGATCTCCCGACAGATTTGAAGTTAGTGCTGGGCACATGTCCCCAGAACGCCTGGGGTGCCCTTGGGCTCATGGCCAAGTGCCACACTGGTGAGTATTTGGCTCAGCTACTCTGGTTTGCTGACTTGCAAGCTCGGGCCCAGACCACAGCCACAGAGCAGCAAGCCCCTCATCTGACCCCCGAGCAGCCCTTACCCTGTGCCCACCTCCCAGGACCTTCCCCTTACGTGCCCCTTAGATAAGACCCCTCACCCCACACCATGGGTCTTACCAAAAGCCTGCTCTTGTGGTTTGAACTGACCAGTCTGGTCCTAGCTCAGGAGCCCCAGAGCACCCCACCCAGAGACCCTGGTATCGGTGGGAGCTTCTGATCCTGCCTTGTCTGCACTCCGCCTTGACCACACTACCTTGACGTGGCCTCTCCAAGCATGCGCACACCTCCTCCAGGACCCGCGAGCAACAAACTTCTCTATTTCAACTTCTCTTGTGGAAGCACAGCAGTTCCTGTGGTCTGCTGCTGAACCAAAGCTCCCCACCCTGCAGCCTGGACACTTAACACGTGTTAATGGAACACAGAGGCTGGACTGCTCACCTCTCTCCTGGGGCCAGGACTGCACCAGGAGGGTCGCCCTCGACAGGAGACTGGCCAGAGCAGATGTGTGAGGGGCAGAAAAGGGAGGGGCTCTGGACAAAGGCACAAGGTAGGACCCCGGGTCACAGGAAGACCTGCCAAGTATGGAATGGTCCCGTGAACCCCAGGGCTCGCTGGGTGGCTTTGGGTGCCGGAACTTTCTTGGGGGCAGTGCTTGGCACCAGGATCCACCCCAAGGGGTCCCAGCACCGGGTCTCTGAGATGTCCAAAGCAGGGGGCGTGGTCTGGGCCCCAGGCTGAGCAAGAGTCTCCCAGGAGCAGTGGGGAATCTCCAGCCCCCACAGTTGTGGCATGGGATGAGGACCCAACAGGCCCATCCGTACCCACTGTGGGCCAGGGCCAAGCTCCCAGAGGGCACACACGGTCCTCACGGACACCGAGGGCCCACTCTAGGCCATATCAGTGGCTGCTCTGTCTGGGGATGGTGCTGGGGGCCTGCAGGCCAAAGCCCAGCTGTGTGCAGGGGCCCCCACATGTGCACACAGCCGCCCACTCCTCAGGCAGTATTCCCACCCTACAGTGCTGTGCCGTGTGGCCCAGAGACAGCAGACGGATGAAAGAGAGATGACAAAGTCCTGTCACTTCAAAAGGCCATGATTTTTAAGGTCATGAAATAACACAGTTGTGCACACAATAAAGAGAAAACGTCTAAATGAACCACTTTATAGGACTGTTGATCTTTTACTCTGGCTGTGGGACATCCAAGTGGCTTTCAGATTGTGCCAGCTCAGAAGGCCAAGGAGGCTGGGCCTGTGGGAGGCTGGGCCTGTGGGGCCCTGGGCCTCCAGCCTGGAGTCCTCCTCCAGCTCCCCATGCGGTATCCAGTCAGCGCCCCAGTTCTTGTGCAGATCCCCCTGCTGGGGCCGGAGTGTCAGGCTTGGGGGGATGCTAGGCCTAGAGGAGTGGTACCCCCAGCGCCCTCAGCAGAGCAGGGTCTGCTCATCAGCCCACTGAGGGGCTGGGGCTCTAACACTGCAGTCCTGGGAGCACCTCGCCAGGCTACTGGTCACTAGGTACCCCAGCTGCTGTCCGGGGCCAGCACTCAGTCTTGGTGCACCACCCACTGGTGTCCGCCCCGTGGGGCCTCTGAGGCAGCCCAGGGGCTGTCCATGAGATAGGAGATGAAGGCCTCCAAACTCCATTGCAGTTTGGGCCTGGCTCCTGTAGGGGTGACTGGGGCTTTCAGTGGACAGGCCCCAGGGCCCTATGAGACCCTTCAAGTCCTTCCGGGACTCCCCAGATTCCCTAGTGTGCCCCCTCCCCCACTCACCCTCCACCTGGCTGGCCTCTGCCCTCTGGGTTCTGGAGACCAGTTCTGGGGGCGTCTATTCAAAACATGCACCAGGTCTGGGGCGCCTGGGGGGCTCAGTCTGTTAAGCGTCTGCCTTCGGCTCAGGTCATGATCCCGGGGTCCAGGGATGGAGTCCCACGTCGTGCTCCCTGCTCAACAGGAAGTCTGCGTCTCCCTCTGCCCCCACCCCCCTCATGCTCTCTCTCTTTCTCAAATAAATAAATAAAATCTTAAAAAAACAATGCATCAAGTCAACTGTGGCCAGTTCAAGGAGCCCTATTCAACACCCCAGGATAGCTGCCACCTTCTGCTTGCCCTCACCCACTGCCCCACCCTGGGGAAGGGTCTCCATCCAAGAGAACACGCATGTGGATCTGTGTGTGGGGACACCTGGGGAGGGGAGAGAGTGAGAGTACATGTACATGCGTGTTTGCATGTATGTGTAAGTGTGCACGTGTCTGCCTTGCCTGTGTGTGTGAGTGTGCATTGTGTGAGTGTGTACCTTGCCTGCCTGCGTGAGTGTGCACGTGTGTGCATGTGAGTGTGCACAGGTGTGAGTGTGCACCTTGCCTCTGTGCGCGTGAGTGTGCACGCGTGGGAGTGTGCACCTTGCCTGCCTGCGTGAGTGTGCACGTGTGTGCATGAGCATGCGTGTGTCTGCACACGTGTGAGTGTGCACGTGTGTGCGTGCACCTTGCCTCTGTGCATGTGTGTGAGTGTGCACGTGTGTGCATGTGAGTGTGCACATGTGTGAGTGTGCACGTGTGTGCATGTGAGTGTGCACATGTGTGAGTGTGCACGTGTGCACCTTGCCTCTGTGCGTGGGAGTGTGCACCTTGCCTCTGTGCACACGTATGAGTGTGCATGTGTGGCACATGCATGCAAAGGGGACCCTGGAAGGGTCACCACATCATAGGACTCCTAGGAAGGAAGAGCCCGTGTTCTGGTTCCTCTGTTCCACGGTCTTCCTCAAGCAGCAGCCCCTCAGGGTCACACCTGGGGCCCACTGCAGGGTCTCACTAAGGGGTCACACCTAAGGTCACACTGTGGGTCACATGTTGGGGTCACATGGTGAGGCCACACCCTGGTGTCCCACTGTGGGTCCCACATTAGGGTCCCACTGCAAGGCCACCCAGGAGCCTGCAGTTCTAAGAGGTTCCAGGGTGCTGTGGCCGACTGCAGTGTGGTCACCCCCGTGAGCTGGGACTCCCTCCTCACTACCCCCTCACAGGCTCACCTTTCTGCTCTCAGCAGCTGGCAGGGGCCTGGCTGGGGGAGGTGCTCTGTGCTCCCGGCACTATGAGTGGACACGCTGGTGTGTCTCCGTTTCTGGGACGGTAGCATTGGTGAAGGTAATGACCAATTGAGGAGAGGCCTCCTACCGCTGGATCCCGCCCCTAAATCCCCAGGCCTGGCCCTCAGTGTTTGCCTGATGGGGAAAGGCACCTAACCTTGCAAGGACCCTGAGGATGGTGTTTAAGGGCTGCACTTGAGAGCTGCCCTGAAGAGATGGGAGGATGTGATAGGAAGTGGGGGAGAGTCACCGAGGCGGGCGGGGGGTGGTGGTGCAAAACAGCGTACCTCGATGGGGCTGGTGGGTGTCTGTGGGCTTGTGCGTGTACATCCTCCCCAAAAGGGTGCAGTGCTCTGTGTCTGCCTGGTAGTTCCACAGTGGAAACCTCACCCAACCAAACAAAACTCATGTCCTACTTAAATTATACCCTCATGTGTCGATCACACTGAGATGGGCAGCCTAAGGAAGCAGATCTGCCCCGCCCCTGAACTCAGGGTTAACTCACAAAGGACCCACATGGTGCACGCAGCGTGTCCAGTAGAAGGATGGCCGGCCCCAAAGACCATGATGCCTTGTGTGTGACTCTGCCTGGTTTGACCTCAAACGGAGGGTCTAGGATTTCTTCTCCCCCTGAGCACAGAATTTCTCACATTGTCCCCGAATCTCATCATCCTGTGGGGTCCTGCATCAG